CGAGTGATTCAGCTCCCATCACCAAGAGCAACTTAGGCTCACGCTGCCGACATTTTTGGGCAGCGAGATCTGAGGGGAAGCTGGGGACTCAAAGTACAACACGACAGTAGTGATTTCTAGTGACACATGCCCCAGAGGATCTTCTCAGGGTTGAATCCAGTCAGCCATGCTTCATACCAGGGATGAAATGTGCACGGTTTCATGGGGACACGCTGGTCAGCCGACCACAGCCAAATGCTGCTGCCCCAGCGCCACCAGTGCTCCTCAGCCCAGGCCAGGCGGCCACCTCCTTCCACAGCCTGAACCTCCAAGGCCAAAAGGAAATCTTTCCAAAATCTCTCCTTCCTCAGCCACAAAACAAAGCCAGCCACCCACACCTGGTTATTCCCTCTCCAGACAGAACTGAGGCTGCTATGCCTGCAGGTGATGGACTGGTGGAAGTCCCGTGAGGAGGTCAGCTCAGGCCCGGCAGGCACCCAGCCGTCCTCCTCAGGAAAGCCTGGACATGCTTGGAGACAGCATGGCAGCAAGCAGGGCCCTGCCTGTCTCACAGCCCTGCAGGTCCGGGTGAAGCACTGGAGCAGATTCCCCAGAGAAGCTGTGGATTCCCCACCATTGGAACTGCTCAAAAAATTGGGTGGGATGGGGCCTCGTGCATCCTGATCTGGTGGGAGGTGTCCCTGCTTGTGGCAGAGGAGCTGACTAGGTGATCTTTTGGGCCCTTCCAGCCCAAACCATTTTGTAATCCTATGATTTATAGAGGACGAGTTTATTATGCCTGCTCACTTTTGTGTCAGCATTGTCCTTTAACTTAAATAGCTCCTCTTCCTCCTTAGCGCTAGCCTCCAGGATGTATTTATAGAGAGCGATCATATCCCTCTTTCAGCTTGCCTGGTGCTGGACTAAATAAGCCAAGCTCTTTCAGTCTACTTTTATAACACCAGCTCTCCAACGCCCTAATCCTCCCGCAGCCTTTCTTTGCACCTGTTCCAGTGTGAATCAATCTTTTTTGAAAGTGAATGACCATAACTGCCCAGCATTGTGTGCATGGCATGTCACATTGCTTTCTACAACAGAATTAGTATTTCCCTCTCCTCTCCAAGCACAGACCCTCTGCATCGGGCAGACAGGGATCTCCCTTGCCTTTTCATTCCATAGTGATAATGAAACGCACAAGATAAGCTGAGAAGCATCATATTTACACAGCCACAACAATTATTTGGGAGAAATGCTGTGGACAAGATTTTTAAATGTTCGAGAGCCAGAAAGAAAAAAAAAGAACAGAAATTCTTTCTCTGTGACAGTCTTAGACTTGAAAACCTGTCAAAACTGAATATGGAAAAAATAATTGTGGAAGGGCTGTGTGGAAAAGGAGTGTCGTGAAACCATTCACAGATGGTAAAATTATTCTTCCAATGGTAGAGCTAAGTAAGATGTGTGCTGTGTGAAGAACAAATGATGGCCATTGTCCCACGTGCCTTTTGCAGTGTCCCTGTGTGCCTTTGTCACCATGTCAGGGCTGCTGCTGTGCTTCTTTATCTTCCAGCATCCCTACCGACAGCAAGCATGATCTCTCCCAGTTTTGCCATCTTTGATCCTCTGATGGACTGGTGAAGGCAGCCTGTTTTCTCACTGCACACATTGGATCCTGAACATGTAAACAGTTTCTTATAGTAACTCCAGGCTTTCTCTACACTCCTATTCTCTGCAGTGATCAGTGATGTGATGCAGCCACAGCCCAGATATATTGCACTGGAGCTCATATCACATCTGTCCAGACAGCTTTGTTCCTTTCAGAGCCCCCAAACACCAGATGCCTGCACTGATAAAGGAGGATGGCTGTTCCACATACTTTCAGCTACTCTCTTTTCATCCAGTAGGATGTTTCAAAAGGCTGGAAAAGTCCTGCAATGTGTACACTCTGTACAGAGCTGGAGAGGATATGGGGAAAGGAACTTCAGCCCATCTTCCTTGAGACCTCCTTGCTCTAGGAAATGATCCTAGTGCCACCAAAAAAAAAAAAAAGAAAGAAAAAAACCAAACAGTTTAAGTGTAATACTACAGAGCCACAAATCTCCAGGTCCTTCAGTTGCATCAGCCCAGGCATTTTTCTTGTACAATTTGTTTTTCATGCTGGATGGATCTTGTTTGTTTGCAGAAGGTGACCTGGGGGAGTGCATGTTGACCTGCCAAGAGGATGCTGAGTGCCATGCAGTCGTCCGTGCCCAGCCTGCCCCACTGCTGGTCACTAGGGGCCACTTGCAGTGCTGTCAAGGAGGAGCCAGCGGCTGTGTCTTGTCACAGTCCTCCCCTCCCTGCCCTGCCTGCTGCCCTGCTCACTGGAGCTAAGCTGGGAACCGGAGGGGAGAGCTGGAAGGGAGGCAGCTGGGAGGGAAGCGGAGCAGGGCTGGTGCTGACTGGGATGGTGGGAGGATGGAGAAGGAAGGGAGCTGAGGCTGGGGAGAGGAACATGCTGCTGCAAGTCCTCCCCCTATGACAACAGTACAGAAGAAAGCTGATTGCTGACGAGGAAGATTAGGAGGCCCTCCCTTGCCCGTGCCAGCCCATTCCTGCAGAAAACTGCAGCTTTGGTCCTGCCATGAGACCCTCAGCAGAACAGAGCTGGATCAGGGGTGCGGGAATGGAGGGTCTTTGGATGTGCTTGAATATAGGTGAGGCACAACCATTGTACATCCAGGTATCATTTCCCCAAACTGCAGGTGGAGGTAGCAGCCTCAGGGCCTTCAGAAAGGGAGGATCCACCAGGAAGAGAGTAAAGGGCAAAAAAGAAGGAGGCGCTGAGAAAAGCAGAGAGCAAGTGAGGCCAAGACAGGCCCTTGCCCCCAGAGCGTCCCAGCAGACAATTCTGAGACACTCTCCTTAATATAGCACCATCTGCCCAGCTATTTTCTCCTCTGGCTCATGTACAGTGATCTCCACATTACAATCAGCATGGCTGGCATACTTGAGCTAGCTGCAGCCTCACGAGGTCAGGCAGGGAGCAATCGTCGTGTATGCACAGCAGTGAGGATTTCAGCCTCAGATCTCCCAAGCTCCTGAGCAGCTTCTGCCAAAGCTTGTGCTGCTCCCTGTCCCCTGCTTTGACCTGTGCTGGCTCCGTCAGCCAGCACGTGCTGCCCTGCACCCATTGCTAAGCAGCCTGGTCCTTGGGGAAGGTAGATTCATGCAGCAAGGGCAGGTACCTCAGATAAAAAAGAACAGGTACACACAGGCACTGGGCTCAGAAGCAGTTTGGCAGCTTTCGTGATTTTGTCCCAAAACCCATTAATCTGTATTTTTTCATCACACCTCAATACCATCTTGCAAAAGAAGCAAGTAAGAAGAATGCCACATGTGTGGTTTGCTGTTTATTTATTTCCCCGAGCCTTGTGGTTTTGAAGATAAACTCATTTTTCTCTGATTCAGGAGGATGGAAGAAGGGATATTAGGACACAACACTTGTCTGTTCGCAGAGGATGTGCTTGCCTACATCTTTTTTGTCTTTTTATTTGTTTTCACTATGCAGACTTTGTGCTCTCTGATGCAGAAACAGGACTTCACCTGCTTCTCTGTTTACCCTGCGCCTCACAGAGTTTAATCCGTCATGCAAATAATAATTACAATGATTTTTATGTCTGAGAAAAGCCTCATTTTTCTTTTCCCTACAATGGGTACGACGGAGGGACAGAACGGGCAAAGTTTGCAGAACATTTGGTGCTGAGTGCTGATTCCTCCATCTTTTCACCCCAAGCTCCCGAGAAAAGAGAGGACTCCTGAGAAGAGAGGGAATTTGCTGGGGTAGTTCCAGCAGGGACCAAGGGCTTGCCTGGCACGGCAGAGGCCCGCGCGTTCCCTGCAAATATAGCATCCGTTGACTTGCACTGAAACCAAACCCAGCGATACATTTCCTCTCATATGAAGTAATCCTATAGCACAAATCAAGATTAATTGACATCCTCGTGTCTACCACAGCTGCACAAATGGTTGGTACAGCACAAGTGGGGCCTGTTCGCTAATCGTGAAGGAGCTAAGAGCAGACCTTGGATTACTGTAGTCTATAGCAATATATCACTTTCCATAAAAAGAAAGGAACATTGTGCTCTTTCCCAAAGCTGTTTCGCCCCAGCTCATCAGTTGCCCAGCAATCGCTCTGCTCTCCTAACACTCGCATGGCAGAAAGAGTGGTTCTTAATCCCCCAGAAGTTCTGCTGTGCTCAACTGAAGCAAAAGGAGCAGGGACAAGTGCGTGGGGGGAGAGGTTGTTCACAGCAGCAAAAAACTGCAGCACGAGGGGAGTTACCAGGATATCAGAAGTTTAAAGACCAGCTTCACCTTCGTAATGGCTTCCAAGTTCTCTCCCCTAATGGTGATCAGGAGAACGTATGACGGCAAGAGCAGCCTCTGCTCTCTGCAGAAGAATTTCATCTCTCTCTGAACAGTCAGACCTGCTGCTGAGTACAGCTCCATTTCAGATATAGCAGCCTTTTAAGGCACACAAGATCTCACATTGTGAAACCAGTCATTTCGCAAACTGGCTGAAGTTTTCAGTCATTTTGCAAAATGCCAGAAGGTATGCACATTAAATCCTCACCCTCTGGCTATTACTCACTCACTCACTCAAGGAGAGATAAAAAACTATTCTTATGTTCATTCCTATGAGCAGGCAATCTTTTCTAATTACTTCTAAAGCCGGACAGCAACACCCATCGCTTGACAGAGCTAACTAGTATTTTCACAATGGAGAATTGTAACATCACAGAAACGTCATCATAGAATCTTTTGAGTTGGAAGGGACCTTTAAAGAATATTCAGTCCAACTCCCCTGCAACAAACAAGGACATCTGCAGCTACATCGGGCTGCTCAGAGTGCCGTAACATCAGCCACCACATTTCAGTCTCGCCCATAACATCTGCCTCTGTCTTGCAGAGCTCTATCCTGCAGCAGGAACTCCATTACCCAAGCCAGCCTTCCCCAAGTGAACATTGATCAACTGTCTAAATCCATTATAAAGCTTTATTTCCGTTATCAGCCTCACCACCAGGAAAACTGAAAGAATGGTCACATAAAAAGACAACACATTTTGAGAAGATCAAGACCAAAGTACTATATGCTGGGAGAAAATATCGAAGTTCCCAAGATGGGGAAATTTAGATTGGATATTATGAATAATTTCTTCATGGAGAGGGTAGTCAAGCATTGGAGTGGGCTGCCCAGAGTAGTGGTAGAGTCCTCATCTTGGATGGTATTAAAGAGATGGGACTGAGTAGCTCAGGTTGATGGTTGGACCTACTGATCTTGAATGTCTTTTTCAGTGTAAATGGTGCTATGATTACACAGAGAATCCACTGGCTAGGTACAAGTTCTTCAAGGCAGGATCAGGGTTATGCCCTGAACATCAGTCTGTGCTATAATATCACTATGAAAAAGGCATGCAACATGCTGGACTTATAAACAAGAGAATAGTCCTCAGGACAAGTGAGGTAATAGTTCCACCCTGGGGACTGCTACTCTATTTTGGACACAAAAACACCAACAAACTGGAAAAAGTCCAGAAGGGAGGAAGGCGAAAGATAAGAGGTCTAGAAAACACAGTGAAAAAAGACTGGAAGAACTCCATCCATCCAGGAATATCCCAATCTATACAAAGTTGCTGGAAGCACAGTCACCCACAGAACAGTTTATTTTTGATGGCCGCAGTGTACCTGGATGGCCAGGGTTCCAGCATTCACACAAATAGTGCAACAATCATGCCAGGCAGTTTGAAAACATCTCCAGCTTTCAGTCTCATTGTGTGGCAACTGAGAAGTAAATGAAGCAGTGAGAAGTAATGTCTGTGGTTCCTGTCATAAGTTGTCCAAACTTTTAGTCATTTCGTCAGGAAAACGTTCTGCAAAGTTAAAGAAAACTGTGGTTAATCCATGAAATTATTTAACAGAATGACGATCCCGTATATGAAAACACTTTTCAAAATTAATCTAGCCAATTGGTCACATTACCCTGTTGTAAGACCTGGCAGCTGGCAATCACGGAACCAGTGGAGACTAAGAAAAGCACTCTTGGTTTCTGAAAGGATAGAAGACACTGAAAGCTGCTTTACGTGATTTGACCACAGAAAATACAGGAGCCTTTGGTCAAATCAAGATCCAAAATTAATTTTTTTGAGTTCAAGCCTGCTGCTCTCTCCATCACCATCAACACACATTCCTACTCTTGTTTACACTCCAGTACGTGTTGTAGTGTAACCATGGCTATATGTTGCACAACACAGCATCCTATGGGATAGAACACACATTATCCCCCAAAGTAGTGCTAAATCCAGTCACCTTTGACCTTGCAGGAAAAGTCACATTCAGTCTGAGTTGTGTCTGAAGTCACATCCCACATCAGCACCCATAGTCTGCATCAGACTGGGGATTGTTTTTCCTTACTGCCTCACCTACCCCACCTCACTTTTGTGCATAGGCACAAAACAGGTGTAGAAAATACATACATAAAGAAAAGCATCCAGGTACTACAGCACAGGGCAGAAAAGGCCTGGTTTCTCTCTGTTCTGATGGCTCTCTGTTCCAATCCTTGTTTGGCTGGAGGCATGTGTGCACCACTTTCATTTCCTCTCCTCCTCACTCGCTCTCACACGCACAGTTTCCCTGGAGCGAGCTGCCTGGCAATCCTCGTTTTCTGACTAGAGCAAGAGGCCTTTATGATACATACACACACACACAAAAAAAAAGAGCTGACAGAGTCAGCCTTCTCCCCAGCAGGTCCCCTTTGGTGCCAGCCAGTCCCTCTGAGCAGAGCTGCTTCGTGTATGGCAGATCGGCATACACAGGCTGGGAGCTGACAGTGCAGGGGATGATGCAGCACCCAAGCTGGGGAAGATAAAGTTAACCCAGCTCTGTCTGCATAGCCTGAAGGGTAGATGAATTGCTGCACAGATGCATCCCAAATTTCCACGCCTGCTGGTCAGCCTCGGGATGAGTCCCGCAGAGAAATCTGGAAAAATAACTGATTCCATAAAAGTAGCCTATCAGTGCTAACATCCAAAATCTTTTTCCTCCTGACAGCTGATAGGCTCTCCCTGCAGCCATTGCAGTGCTCTTGCCCCTTCAGGACCCCGGGGCTATTGAGGTGGAGGCGTGGATTTATGGCACTGGTTTTCACAGGGTATAACTCTGAGCCTCAGGGATCAAGGGTTATGACATTTTTATGGCCTCTCCTCTCCCTCGCATATGAATATGAAGCAACCGTAAGGAAAAACATCTGGTTTCACTTTTCTTTTCCCCACCACTGTTCCCATCTGACAAAACCTTAAAAACTTGCCAGTGCTCTAGCGAGCCGTGTGTGCCAGCAGCCTGCAAGGAGCCAAGGCTTTTTCAGCATCATCACAGTGAGTGTACACTGCCCTGGAAGAAATGGCTCCATGTGCTGCTCGAAGGCAAGAAGACCCAGACCTCGTCCCACTGCCAGGTGTGCTGGCAGCCCTCCTCTGATGCTCAAGCAGGATGGAGGGCTGCTACAAGGCTGTCCTCCATCTTGATCTCATTACAGGCTGCATCTCCAGAGGGAACTGTGGGCCACCACAGAGAAGGCTGCAAGAGGAAGCGACCCCAGCTAAGCCAAGTGAAAGCAAGCTGCAAGGAGATGTCCTGCCACCCTGCTCATATCAGGTCTCATCCATCATGGACACCCTTCAATAGGTGTTCTGCAGGGCAGCAAAATGAGCTTACTTTCCTTCTGCAAAGCACAGCTGAAGGAGATGGACTCAAAAATCTATGTGGCGGCCAGTAGCCTACAAGACCTGGCCATCCCTGCTTCTGGTGTCAGAGACTCTGAGCCGATCTGGCAAAGGTGGCCAAGAGCTGAATTCACACCTAGACACCCAGTAACACTGACACGGCGTAATTCCTTCCCTCTGGTTATCTTATTTATCTGAGAAAAGTAAAAATTAAAATATTGCAAGGAATTTGAGGGCCTTTCTCCCTGATCTAAAAGAAGGAGAGGCAGATAGGCAACAGGCAAAGGGCAGTGTAGCAGATTTGGAAAAATCAAGAAATAATCTCAGTCTCAGCTTCCTGATACAGAATCAGAGAATCAGAGAACCATAGGACCATAGAGTAACCATCATCCCATAGTTCCTTCCAAGGTCTTTGGAAGAGACCTTAAAGATTGCCTAGTCTCAACTCCCACCGCTGTGGCACCCATCTCAGGGCTCAGAGCCCTAGAGGAAGCCAAGGCAGTGAGGCACTGGAACAGGTTGCACAGAGAGGTGATGGTTGCCCCATTCTTGGAGACATTCAGGTCAGGCTGGAAAGGGCTCTGAGAAACCTAATCTAGCTGTAGGTGTCCCTGTTCATTGCAGGGGAGTTGGATTAGGAAACGTTTAAAGGTCTCTTCCAGATCAAACAGTTCTGTGATTCTGTGACACTATGACTGTATCCGGTAAAAGGGGACAACTTGAAAGAACTGTGGTGTTCTGGACCCCAGGGATGTGCTGAGTACAGGCCATGTGGAGGCCATGGGATGGAGGAATGCATTTGTTTCAGGGCTGTATGGCAATGAAGACCTCAAGTTAGGCATTAGAAACAAATCTCAGAAACAACGGTTCACCCAAATAACAAAACTGAACCCTGAAAAATGTCTCCGAGGGACAGGAAGGGTTCAGAGAGAAGGATTTTGACTATCAAGCTGTATGAAGAAAATTTCTACTCTGTGCTGCGGGATCCAGGAGAAGACCCAGAGTATTGTTTTCCAGTTTCTCGATCTCTTCCTCACTGCCCTTCTTCACTATGCCAGTAGAAAAACACCACTCCCTCCCCTTATTCTTTTTCTTTGTTTACTTAACTTTTTTTTCCTCATAGCAACACATAAAGATGAAACCATCCAATATTTCCCAGTAACCGAGACCATTATTCACTGAAAGCACTGGCCTCGGTCCTAATTGCTGCTGGTCTCATGCTCAACACAAGAGGAGCACACAGCTGTAAATAGCTCTGTACAGTACTCATGTCAAGTTGACCCTAATTCCTGCAAGTCCCTTGGGATAACGAATAAAACTTCATCAATACGTTACCAGAGAAAATAGGTGTGCTAGGTTCATTTATGATGGAAAAACAACGGCAAGAGGGAGAGACAGGGTGGAAATACCATTTTGCACTCTTTTCTAAAGAATGCAGAGGGGAAGAAGGTAAAAAGAGCCAGTAGTCACTGGTACCTACAGGCCATGCGACAGGTTAAAGAAACCTTACATCTCAGTGACGCTGGACAGTGAGGACTTTCCGGATCATGTGGCAATGCCCTGAGAATGTTTGTTGAGGAGGTTGGACCATTCACTTTTCTCATCATCCTTCCAAACCTTTGCTCCAGGCACGCTGCTCTTCTGGCATTACACAATTTCTTCACCCTATTTCCCTCTATTCACACAAAGAGCCTGTGTTTCGTATGAACATTTGTTTGAGGATAAAGAGCATCAGAACTGCGAGGTAACAACACTGCACTATGCGGGTGCTGTGATCGGTGTAAAATCCCTGCTAAGGAGGAGGAAAGCACTGTGCTTTGCTTTTCTCCTTGCTGGAGGCACAGAAAGGAGAAAAGGAGAGGGCAGAGAAGTTTTGCGACTAACAGCAAAGCGTGGTGCTTTTGTTTTTAGCCTACTTTGCTGCTATAACCAGTCGCAAGAACCTGACTATTTCACAACAAAAAGTCACTGCACTAATTTTTTTTGTTTTTTTTTCTTTTCAAAATACAGTACCCTTCAGGCACAGCAGGGAAAAGACTCCAGTTTGTTACCCGATCCCTGGAAGGTGAGGAGCTTGTAACGCTCCTTCACCCTTTTATTGCCCTTATTCTTCACATCCTGCCCATCCTCTGAGTGATTTCACACCTCCCTCTTGCTCTCCGTCCCATCTATCACACAGTATCTCTTTTTCCCTCACTTCTGCCTCTCCTCTGCTCTGCTCTTGCATTCCAGCTTCCCCTGCTCACCCCCAAAGTGTGTGGGGAGATCAGCATTCCTCCCATGCCTTCAGGCCCTCAGCCCACATAGCTGCCTGTGGCCGGCCAGCAGCTCCCACCCTGGCAGCAGGAGCCCAAACCCGCTGCTCCTTGCATCCAGGCCGAGTTAGCCAGCCAGAACTGCCAACACTTTGGCCAGAGGCTTCAGCCTAACTGAGGGAAGTGAGGAAGGACAGTGCAAAAGTCCACTGCTGCATTCCAGGAGGTGGAAATTGGTACAGCTGGTACCGTGTGCTTAGCTCTCAGCCAAAGTCCTTTCTTTCAAGGTTGTGCTGACAAACTGCAAAAACAACGGCTGAAAGCACAGTGTTCAGTGAGCGGTGGGGAACCTGCCCCAGAAGAAAGAATTTGTGATGGGGAGGTTTTAGCACTATTTGTTTTCAAGTCAAGCCCTTAGCAGGGACTTGCTGACGAGGGAGAATGAAAGGTGTTGATCCAGAGTACCTCTAATGCACTTGACACATGTGTGTTTCTTCCAGCAGAAGTCTTTAAGAATCAGTTCTTAATGAGCAAGATTATGGGAAGACTCCCTGGACCCTTTCATCTGCCCCAGGACAGGCTACACTCTGCACATGAAGGCATGTTGCAAGAAGATTTTGTACCTGGAACAAATACTTCTCACCGTTCTGGATGACTGCTGTGCCACACTGCATTCTTTCCGACACTCTGGAGTGAATAAATACTCCTGGGAGAATAAATAGATTTCTGCCATCCCAAACTTCGTGCTGGCAAGCCAGAGGCCCTGCCCCAAGTAGGGCTCTGCGTGCAACTGACTGCTTGTGTGCTGGCCAGAGGAAAGAGTTACAGAGCCATAAAAATAATATTTATTAGAGGGTGACTGACAGCCAGCACAGTGGAACCTTATTCAGAACAGCA